GAAATGGTGGAACAAAGGTGGAGGAGAGAGGGACACAGTGGAGCCGCCACTCTGCCAGCCCTGGCTTTTTGGTGCTCTCCAGCAAGGACAGTTTTGCACTGAAGACAAGGCCCTTCCTTGTCCCCTCTTCTATGATTCCTACCATTCTTATATATGTATGTGTGTGGGTATATATATGTATATGTAGGTATACATGGACCCTTCCACACAGGCCTATATCCCAGAATATCAAGGCGGAAAATCCCACATTATCAGAGTGTGGACTCAGATAACCCACTTCAATGCAGATATAGTGGGATTTTCTGCCTTGATATACTGGGATATAGGGCAGTCTGGTAGGGCCCACATATACCTACATATACATATATATGCATATGCACACACACACACACACACATATATATAAGAACTAGCTGTCCCCTGCCACACATTGCTGTGGCCCAGTCTGTGTATATGTGTTTGTGTGTGTATGTGTATATATGTGTGGTTCTGCGCATGCATTGTAATGTTGTGTTTTTTTTTTGCTTTTTAAGTCTCTTCTGTTATTTTTTTTCTGAGTGATGGTCACTTGTTGGCCTCATAGGTGTATTGTGTCCAAATCTGGTGTCAATTTGTCCAGTGGTTTTTGAGTTCTGTTAATCCCACAAACGAACATTACATTGTGTGTGTATATATGTGCATATGTGGTTTTATGCATGCATTGTAATTTTTTTTTGACTTTTAAAGTCCCTTCTGCTGTGTTTTTCAGTGTTTTTGTGAGTGATGGTCTCTTGTTGGCCTGACAGGTGTATTGTGTCCAAATGTGGTATCAATTTGCTATGGCCAACCTTCCCTCCCACTTTTTCTCCTCCTTTCCTTCCTTCCCTTTTTCTTCTTCTCTGTTTCCTTCCTTCCTTCTCTCCTCTCCCTTCTTTCCCCCTCTTTTCTTTCTCCTCCCCTTCCTCTCCTTTCTTCCTTCTCTACCTATTCTTGGACTGCAACCCCCAGCAGTCCTCCTGATCAATCTATCTACCTATCTCTATCTAATCTATCTATCTTATCTTGCTGGGAGTTGCAGTCCAGGAATAGGAAATTGGAAGTATGCAGGAATTGGGATGCTCTCAAAGAAATCCAAGGAGAAGCAAGCTTAGAAGCAGTGCATTTGGAGCATTTTCCGCCCCTAAAGGGCCTGGTCTAGGGGATGCTGGGAGCGGTTGTTTTTGCGCATGTGCAGCATTGTCATGTAGCTTTTGGGGGGTTTTAAGTCCTTTCCGCTGTTTTTTTGGGAGGCGTTTATGAGTGATGGTCAGTCATTGGCCTGAGAGGTGTATTGTGTCCAAATTTGGTGTCAATTCATCCAGTGGTTTTTGAGTTATGTTAATCCCACAAACTAACATTACATTTTTATTTATATAGAAGACTAGCTTTCCCCTGCCACGTGTTGCTGTGGCCCAGTCTGGAAAGTAAAGTAATGAGAAAGCATTGGTTTCTAATAGATGTAATGTCTTTCTGCTTGTGGGTAAACAGTATTTCTTGTTGTTTCTTTGTAAGTGATGTGGAGAGTGTCTGATTGCCTACTCTGGAATGTGCAACATATAATTGACTTTCTTTAGGGGTCCCTTTCAAATCTATGATATTATATCTGTGTGCGTGTGAATCATATCTATCTATATCAGTGGTTCTCAACCTGTGGGTCCCCAGGTGTTTTGGCCTGCAACTCCCATAAATCCCAGCCAGTTTACCAGCTGTTAGGATTTCTAGGAGTTGAAGGCTAAAACATCTGGGGACCCACAGGTTGAGAACCACTGATCTATATCTATGGCTGGATGGCTCTTTGTCAGGAGGGCTTTGATTACATTTTCTTGCCCTGATGAAGGGAGTTGGACTGGATAGCCTTAAGGCAGCATTTCTCAACCTGGGGGTCGGGACCCCTGGGGGGGGGGGGTTGTGAAGGGGTGTCAGAAGGGTCACCAAAGAAAAACACAGTATTTTCTGTTGGTCCCGGGGGTTCTGTGTGGGAAGTTTGCCCCAATTCTGTCATTCGTGGGGTTCAGAATGCTCTTTGATTGTAGGTGAACTGTGAATCCCAGTGACTACAACTTCCAAATGTCAAGGTCTATTTCCCCCAAACTCCATCTGTGTTCATATTTGGGCATATTGAGTGCTTGTGCCAAGTTTGGTCCAGATCCATCATTGTTTGAGTCCAAAGTGCTTCTCTGGATGTAGGTGAACTACAACTCCAAACTCAAGGTCAATGCCCACCAAACCCTTCCAGTATTTTCTGTGGGTCATGGGAGTTCTGTGTGCCAAGTTTGGATCTATTCCATCGTTGATGGGAGTTCAGAATGCTCTTTGATTGTAGGTGAACTATAAATCCCAGCAACTACAACTCCCAAATGACAAAATCATATTTTTTGAGTGATGGTCACTCCTTGTGTTGTGAGACATTTGGTTGCCAAATTTGGTGTGATTTCATTCATTGGTTGTTTTGTTTTTAAGGTACTCATTATGCACAGAGCATATAGATAGATAGATATTGATTGTAGGTAAACTATAAATCCCAGCAACTACAACTCCCAAATGACGAAATCCTAATTTTTTGAGTGATGGTCACTCCTTGTGTCGTGAGACGGCTGGTTGCCAAATTTGGTGTGATTTCGTTCATTGGTTCTTTTGTTTTTAAGGTTCTCGTTATGCACAGAGCATATAGATCGATATTGATTGTAGGTGAACTATAAATCCCAGCAACTACAACTCCCAAATGACAAAATCATAATTTTTTGAGTGATGGTCCCTCCTTGTGTAGTGAGACGTTTTGTTGCCAAATTTGGTGTGATTGTAGGTGAACTATAAATCCCAGCAACTACAACTCCCAAATGACAAAATCATAATTTTTGGAGTGATGGTCACTCCTTGTTTTGTGAGACGTTTTGTTGCCAAATTTGGTGTGATTTCGTTCATTGGTTCTTTTGTTTTTAAGGTACTCATTATGCACAGAGCATTTTAGATAGACAGATAAATACTGATTGTAGGTGAACTATAAATCCCAGCAACTACAAATCCCAAGTGGCAAAATCCTAATTTTTTGAGTGATGGTCACTCCTTGGTTCGTGAGACATTTGGTTGCCAAATTTGGTGTGATTTCGTTCATTGGTTCTTTTGTTTTTAAGGGACTCATTATGCACAGAGCATATAGATAGATATTGATTGTAAGTGAACTATAAATCCCAGCAACTACAACTGCCAAATGACAAAATCATAACTTTTTGAGTGATGGTCCCTCCTTGTGTTGTGAGATGTTTTGTTGCCAAATTTGGTGTGATTGTAGGTGAACTATAAATCCCAGCAACTACAACTCCCAAGTGGCAAAATCCTAATTTTTTGAGTGATGGTCACTCCTTGTGTCGTGAGATGTTTTGTTGCCAAATTTGGTGTGATTGTAGGTGAACTATAAATCTCAGCAACTACAACTCCCAAATGACAAAATCCTATTTTTTCGAATGATGGTCACTCCTTATATAGTGAGGCGTTTAGTTGCCGAATTTGGTGTGATTTCGTTCATTGGTTGTTTGGTTTTTAAGGTACTCATTATGCACAGAGCATTTATATAGATAGATAGAAGATAGATAGATATTGATTGTAGGTGAACTATAAATCCCAGCAACTACAACTCCCAAATAACAAAATCCTAATTTTTTGAGTGATGGTCACTCTTTGGTTTGTGAGACGTCTGGTTGCCAAATTTGGTGTGATTTCATTCATTGGTTGTTTTGTTTTTAAGGCACTCATTATCCACAGACCATATAGATAGATACTCTGATTGTAGGTGAACTATAAATCCCAGCAACTACAACTCCCAAATGACAAAATCATAATTTTTTGAGTGATGGTCACTCCTTGGGTTGTGAGACGTTTTGTTGCCAAATTTGGTGTGATTTCGTTCATTGGTTCTTTTGTTTTTAAGGTACTCATTACGCACAGAGCATATTTTTATATATAGATGCTTTGAAAAATGTTACTCCCAAATGACAAAATCCTAATTTTTTGAGTGATGGTCACTCCTTGTGTAGTGAGACGTTTTGTTGCCAAATTTGGTGTGATTGTAGGTGAACTATAAATCCCAGCAACTACAACTCCCAAATGACAAAATCCTAATTTTTTGAGTGATGGTCCCATTGTGGTGGAGTTCAGAATGCTCTTTGATTGTAGGTGAACTATAAATCCCAGCAACTACAACTCCCAAATGACAAAATCCTAATTTTTTGAGTGATGGTCACTCCTTGTGTAGTGAGACGTTTTGTTGCCAAATTTGGTGTGATTGTAGGTGAACTATAAATCCCAGCAACTACAACTCCCAAATGACAAAATCCTAATTTTTTGAGTGATGGTCCCTCCTTGTGTAGTGAGACGTTTTGTTGCCAAATTTGGTGTGATTGTAGGTGAACTATAAATCCCAGCAACTACAACTCCCAAATGACAAAATCCTAATTTTTTGAGTGATGGTCACTCCTTGTGTAGTGAGACGTTTTGTTGCCAAATTTGGTGTGATTGTAGGAGACCTATAAATCCCAGCAACTACAAATCCCAAGTGACAAAATCATATTTTTGGAGTGATGGTCACTCCTTGGTTTGTGAGACGTTTGGTTGCCGAATTTGGTGTGATTTCGTTCATTGGTTCTTTTGTTTTTAAGGCACTCATAGAGATAGAGAGATAGAGAGATAGATAGAGAGAGAGAGAGAGAGAGAGAGAGAGAGAGAGAGAGAGAGAGAGAGAGAGAGAGATAGAGGGTAGGAATCCTAGAAAGAGAGACAAGGAAGGCGGTGCTCTCCTCTCTCCCACTGGTAGGGCGTTCTTCAGAGGCGCACATGGCTCTTCAAGCAAAAGGAAGAGAGGGGGGGGGGGTACGAGGAGGCAGGGTTTCAGTCCCGAAATGTAGGTGGGATTGCGATCCAGTGCAGCCTGGAGGGATCTCTTTCTTCCTTCCCCCCCCCCCCTCCCTCCCCCTCCCCCTCTCACTCACCGGCTCGGAAGAAAGCGGCGATGTCTGCGGATTCCTTGGCGGCGTCCTCGGCCCCTCCTTCCCCGCCCGCGTTGCCTCCGCTGCCACCGGCGGAGGAGGAAGACGAGGCACAAGCGGCAGAGGAGGCAGAGCCGCTCATGGCTGCCGGCGGATGGAGATCTCCTCCCTTCTCCTTCTAGCAGGAGCCCGGGAGGCGCTCCATTGGCGAAGCGTCGCTGCTCCTGCTGCTGCAAAGGGAGGGAGGAAGGGAGGGCTCTGGCAGGCGCCGAGACAATTGCAGGAGGAGGGAAGGGAAAGAGGGAAGGAGGGAGGGAGGGAGACGGGGCTGCAATCAGTGCGGCAGCAGGAAGCCGGTGGGAGGGGAAAGCAAGAGAGGGAAGGAAGGAAGGAGGGAGGGAGGGAGGAAAGAAAGAGGGAGGGTCTCCTTTTCCCTTTCTTTTCCGCTCAGCCTCAGCCGCTGCCGCCCCGCTCCTCCATCTTGCCAAGGTGGGAGGGCTGATCAGGAAGGAAGGAAGGAAAGGAAGGGAAGAAGGGTCGAGTCCCCGCCCAGGGAACAAGAGGAAGGGGAAAAGGGGAGGAGGCGCCGCCGCCGCGCTCGGGAAGTTCCGGACGGCTCCGTCCAAGGTTCGGGCGCCGGGCGGGGTCTGGTTGGAGGAAGAGGAGGAGGAGGAGGGAGAAGCGCCGCCCTGATTGGCTAAAGCGGGGTTCTAAAGCCCCCTCCCTTCCTTCCTTCCGCGCAAAGGGAATCCCCGTCAGTGCCAAAGGGCACAGCGTATTATTTGAGAACACAGAAATGCTGGACCGCTCTAACAATGTATTTATTTGCTAGCCGTCCCCTGCCACGCGTTGCTGTGGCTCAGTCTGTGTATATGTGTTTTGTGTGTATATATGCATGTTGTTGTTCATTCGTTCAGTCGTCTCCGACTCTTCGTGACCTCATGGACCAGCACACGCCAGAGCTCCCTGTCGGCCGTCACCACCCCCAGCTCCTTCAAGGTCAGTCCAGTCACTTCAAGGATGCCATCCATCCATCTTGCCCTTGGTCGGCCCCTCTTCCTTTTGCCTTCCACTTTCCCCAGCATAATTGTCTTCTCTAGGCTTTCCTGTCTCCTCATGATGTGGCCAAAGTACTTCAACTTTATGCATCTACTTCTGCTTCATTGATTTCAATTCAAGAGAGATATTGACAAGCTGGAATGTGTCCAGAGGAGAGCGACTAAAATGATCAAAGGTCTGGAGAACAAGCCCTATGAGGAGCGGCTTAAGGAGCTGGGCATGTTTAGCCTGAAGAAGAGAAGGCTGAGAGGGGATATGATAGCCATGTATAAATATGTGAGAGGAAGCCACAGGGAGGAGGGAGCAAGCTTGTTTTCTGCTTCCCTGGAGACTAGGCTTCAAACTACAAGAAAGGAGATTCCATCTGAACATGAGGAAGAACTTCCTGACTGTGAGAGCCGTTCAGCGGGGGGGGGGGGGGCTTCAGCCCCCCCCCCCCCGAAATTCTCATGGTGGTTCGCGAAAAGGCCTTACTGGTGCATTATTTAAACTGTTATGTTTATTCATATCATGATCTGATCACCATACTCAATATATCCCATATGCATGGGGGTATTGGGGTAATGATACAAAAGGTTTGCTAGGATAGACCCTCTTTCACTCAGACTCAGCCCCCCCCCCCCTGAAACTCCCCCCCCCCCCGAAAGAAATCCTGGCAACATGGGAAGAACTTCCTGACTGTGAGAGCCGTTCAGCAGTGGAACTCTCTGACCCGGAGTGTGGTGGAGGCTCCTTCTTTGGAAGCTTTTAAACAGAAGCTGGATGGCCATCTGTCAGGGGTGATTTGAATGCAATATTCCTGCTTCTTGGCAGGGGGTTGGACTGGATGGCCCATGAGGTCTCTTCCAACTCTTTGATTCTATGATTTTTCGACTATTCTAAAGCCTTTGACTGTGTGGATCATAATAAATTGTGGCAAGTTCTTGGTGGGATGGCATCCCAAGCCACCTTGTCTCTCTCCTGAGGAATCTGTACAAGGACCAAGTAGCAACAGTCAGAACTGACCACGGAACAACAGACTGGTTCAAGATTGGGAAAGGCGTACGGCAAGGCTGCATACTCTCAACCAACCTTTTTAACTTGTATGCAGAACACATCATGCGATGTGCGGGGCTTGATGAATGCAAAGCTGGGGTGAAAATTGCTGGAAGAAACATTAACAACCTCAGATATGCAGATGACACCACTCTGATGGCCGAAAGCGAGGAGGAGCTGAGGAGCCTTCTAATCAAGGTGAAGAAGAAAGCACAAAAGCTGGGCTGCAGCTAAACATCAAAAAACCCAAGATCATGGCAACAAGAATGATTGACAAGTGGGAAATAGAGAGAGAACATGTGGAGGCCGTGACAGACTTTGTATTTCTAGGTGCAAAGATTACTGCAGATTCAGACTGTGGCCAGGAAATCAGAAGACGCTTACTTCTTGGGAGAAGAGCAATGTCCAGTCTCGATAAAATAGTAAAGAGTAGAGACATCAGACTGGCAACAAAGATCCGCATAGTTAAAGCCATGGTATTCCCTGTAGTAACCCCTGTAGTAACCTACGGATGTGAGAGCTGGACCTTAGGGAAGGCTGAGCGAAGGAAGATCGATGCTTTTGAACTGTGGTGTTGGAGGAAAGTTCTGAGAGTGCCTTGGACTGCGAGAAGATCCAACCAGTCCATCCTCCAGGAAATAAAGCCCGGCTGCTCATTGGAGGGAAGGATACTAGAGGCAAAGTTGAAGTACTTTGGCCACATCATGAGGAGACAGCAAAACCTAGAGAAGACAATTATGCTGGGGAAAGTAGAAGGTAAAAGGAAGCGGGGCCAACCAAGGGCAAGATGGATGGACGGCATCCTTGAAGTCACTGGACTGACCTTGAAGGAGCTGGGGGTGGTGACGGCCGACAGGGAGCTCTGGCGTGGGCTGGTCCATGAGGTCACGAAGAGTCGGAGACGACTGAATGAATGAACAACAAATGCATATAAGGTAAAGGTAGTCCCCTGACATTAAGTCTAGTCGTGTCCAACTCTGGGAAGTGGTGCTCATCTCCATTTCTAAGCCGAAGAGCCGGCGTTGTCCGTAGACACCTCCAAGGTCATCTGGCCGGCATGACTGCATGGAGCGCCGTTACCTTCCCGCCGGAGCAGTATTATTTACTTTATTTATTTACTTTGCTTATATACCGCTGTATCTCAAGCCCAAAGGCGACTCACGGCGGTTCACAAACAG